TATGAATACCATTTTATATATGTTTTCTCATAGTCCATTAATAGAAATTAGTATGTACTAAAATAGTCAAGAACGATATTGTGGTCTCCTCATAAAGGCTGGTGAAAGACTTCATAGATTTATTTTAAATATAAATGGAACACAAATAATGCGACATATAACAAGTTTCACAAATAAATAATGTAGATGTACTTTGTTTCAATTCTCAACCAGCACGTTATTTCAAACCATAGCTAATTTTCCCTTCGTGTGAATGTTGAGGAATCTTCTCTCCTATAATGATAAGATCCTGTGCAACTTACAAGTGCAGTTCTTCGTACACCGCCAAACGAGTGACCCGTTCTCTCATAAATGGACAAAGCGCTTGTTATCAAACGCCAGCATTGGACAAACACTTGTGGTCTAAGCCGGACACGGTGCTTTTGACGACACCCGTTGACAAACCACCTGTGATCAAACACACTCTGCTGATAAAACAACTGTGGTCAAAGCCCCTATGGTCAAAGCCCTATGGTCAAAGCTCCGATATGGTCAAAGCCCCGATGTGGTCAAAAACCTTATGGTCAAACCCCCTATAGTCAAAGCCCCTCTGTGGTCAAACCACCAATGGTCAAACCCCCTATGATCAAAGCACTTGTTGTCAAAGGTCCGCGCGTCGATTTTTAATCCATTTTTACATTCTCGTATATACGAAGTATAGAGAAAGTATTGTAATCGTGCAAAAAAATCTCTTGAAATTTTAGCATTTTTCACCGTATTACACCTCAGTCCTTCATCACATCCGAAGTCTAGAGGACTTATTTTAATCGGACAAAAATTATCAATCCAGATTTATCAAAATTAAGAGGTTATATGCCTAATCCAGTCTGAAAAACTGGGTTTTGCAATCCTGTCCGTATGTCTGTGTGTCTGTGTGTCTGTCTGTCTGTTTGTCTGTCCGTGTGTAAACACGATTACTTGAGTACCGTTACAGCCAGGTTGATGAAATTTCATATATAAGTATTTTATCAAAATCGTAGATCCGTATCAACTTTTGAGCGATTTCCGATAACCGGAAGTGGTACTTTTTCTACTTTGAATTTTTCAAAAGCCTATAACTTGAGTACTATTTCAGATAGATAAATGAAATTTCACATGTGAGTAAAAGATCTAATTTTCTACCTTCTGTAAAAATTTTAGTAATTTCAGTTGACCAGAAGTAGTAATTTACGCTACTTCCGATTTCTCAAAAAACTAATGTAAATTTTTAAAGTACTAATAATATTGCGCACTATTATGCACTTTTTTATTTGGCGTTCACTTGGTGTGCTATTCTTTTGTCTACGATATTCTATTCTATTTTTAAAACTTTAAGTATTTAAAATGGATTAAAAATCATGTCTATAGCCCGAGTTCCCATCCCCTGTTGTTTTATGTAAGAATGTTCGAGAAAGTTTAGGGGAGGTCACTCCCGGTTTATTAATTACGTAAACTTTTAAAAATAGAATAGAGTCGTAGAAAAAAAGAATTGCGCACCAAGCGAATGGCAAACAATATGTGTTCAAGAGTTTGGACTATTATTAGTACTTTATAAATTCATATGCGTTATTTGAGAAATAGCATAAATTACTAATTCAAATTAACGGATATTACTCAATATTTGACAGTAGGCAGAGAATTTCGCATGAAAACGCTGAAAATTTAATACAGAACTCTAATGTTTATATAATACATATATGTGACATTTAATCAACATAGCAGTAACGGTACTCAAGTTATCGTGTTCACAGACACACACACATACACACACACACACACATATATATATATATATATATATATATATATATATATATATATATATATATATATATATATATATATATATATATATATATATATATATATATATATATATATATATATATATATATATATATATATATATATGTATATATATATATATATATATATATGTATATATATATATATATATATATATATATATATATATATATATATATATATATATATATATATATATATATATATATGGTGACCCGTCAAAAGAGCGCACGACAAAAGAGCGCCGACATAAGAGCGCAGACAAAAGAGCGCCGACATAAGAGCGCCGACATAAGAGCGCATCAATTTGCCGACAAAAGAGCGCCGACATAAGAGCGCAAACTAAAGATCGAAAAACCATATTTAATAAATAGGAACAAGAAAATTAACTCAGATCAGACGTCATCGTTTGAAGCTAACTCTTTATTGTTTCATTAAAAAACTAATTGTTCAGTTTCTTTAACTAGAAAACTGATATAATCAACATGAAGTCGAATTATTCAAAACGCAACGTAGTAACACATACAAAGATTTTAGGCCTTTGTTAGAATATAAACTGAAATGAAATGTAACAAAATGAAAATAAGTTCAGATTAATAAAATGTTTCTTTATAGTTGCATTTATAAAGCTAAGTTGTGGGCTATACCCCGTAGGTAGTCCATCATTGAATCATTAGCATAGGTTGAAGCAATTGTCTGCAATCTTCGGTTCAGCTGAACATATTTGTTCTTTGAAGCTTCTGGTTGATTAACTCCAGCCAGATGACGTTCCAGTTCGATTTCGATGTGATCTTGTTCCAGACGAAACTGGTTGATCAATTTAAAGACGGAAGGATGATTGCAATCTACCGTTTGTTGGAATGCGCGATGCCATGCGTCGACTGAGTTGTTTGTACGTGGTAGATTTTCAGAGACAGGATTAAGGACATTCCAAATAGCAAGAGCGAAGCGTGGGTCACCTCGACGGTTTCTCCTTCGCCTCCCTATGTAACTATCCTCCCAATAATCTACCAGTGGCATAATTTCTGCAGGACTAGCTTCTACTAAATGCTCGAATGCAGTACAGACATCATTTACAGGAACAAAACTTAAGGCAAGCAGCATCTTCGCTGTCATTCGACATTTCTCGTTGTCGTGATACAGTTGCGATTAGCCTAAATCTTGCACTTTTCTGGCTTGATTTTTCCACCCCTTCAACTGCCCGCTTTCGTATTGCCGAGAAACGACTTTCGCTGCTTCGTTTTTAGCCGGATCAGGAGCGTGATTGTGTTCCGATGATGACAGAACAACATCGTTCATCATTTTCATCCGTCCTCGGCAGCTATCTTTCTTGCAGCATCTCCATGTCGTACTTCCATCAGCATTTACTCTGTCCTTTCGATATCTGTAGCCTTCGACCAAAATAATTACCTTCCCTTTCTGTGATTCGATCTTCTCCATGTTACTTGGGCTAGAAATATTTTCAAACTGCATTTATACCGTATCAACCACAATACATAAATAAACACATGTCGTTTTATCGTGCCGCCGATTTTTTAATGCCATATTTGTTTAGCTTACAACATGTGTTTTTATAATTGTTCGCGCTCTTTTGTCGGCGCTCTTATGTCGGCGCTCTTTTGTCTACGCTTTTATGTCTGCGCTCTTTTGTCTGCGCTCTTATGTCTGCGCTCTTATGTCGGCGCTCTTTTGTCGTGCGCTCTTTTGACGGGGTGCCATATATATATATATATATATATATATATATATATATTTATATATATATATATATATATATAAATTAAATATATTAAATTACTAATTCAAATTAACGGATATTACTCAATATTTGACAGTAGGCAGAGAATTTCGCATGAAAACGCTGAAAATTTAATACAGAACTATAATGTTGATATAATATTTATATGTGACATTTCATCAACATAGCAGTAACGGTACTCAAGTTATCGTGTTCACAGACACACAGACACACACACATACACACACACACACACATATATATATATATATATATATATATATATATATATATATATATATATATATATATATATATATATATACAGAAAAAATTGCAAAACTATGTTTTTCAGAATCTCGATTTCGATTTTTTGCACGATTATAATACTTCCTCTATACGGAAGACGGAGAAAGTAAGTTGAACAAAAGCTTGTAAAAAAAGTTTATGTTATTAAAAATCATGTCTATATCACGAGTTGCCATCCCCCGTAGTGTTATATAAGAATATTCGAGAAATTTTCGGGGAGATCCCTCCCTGTTTATTTTACTTGTAGAGAAAGAAATAAAATAAATAATCGTTACGGTAATCAAGAACAGATTTGCTATCGTTAACTTTCTTACATACTCACAATTATTATCATTACAATTTCCAAAATAAAACACATATCTCCAAGTATAAGCTGGGATTGAAAATGTGATATTCAAATGTTTCATTGTATTGCTGATCGATGTAAAAGCATAGCCGTAATTGTCGCAATCAGCTGCATCTTGATTGGAAATAATTCCATCAACCGCGTTACTGCCGTTGTAATTAGTGTCGTTTTTAAAGTAGCTTGTCATAGTGACGTGCTGTTTTAGTGCCAAGTTTCGTCCTGTATTTGAAAAGGATTTATTTAATTTTTCGTTACTGAAAAGCTATCAATTATTACCAAAAATAATTCAAAATAGTATATTTTTTCCGCAATCAAATTTTTCTTGAAATCTATCGAAAAGTAACAACAATACAAAATAAATTAAGGGTTTAACTAATGGAGCGGAAATGTAAGATTTGCAATTATTTTAAATTAAATTAAATTTAAATAAAATAAAAGTAATTACAGAGAAACGGGAACACATAGTTCATAATATATTTCAAAGTATGGTTTTCTATGGTAAGAAACTACAAAAAGCTTCCAATCATTAACAATGTCAGCGTTAAAGTGACATATTTAACAATTTATTTATATTATTTTAAAACTTGTATTTCCCTAGAAATACGTAAAAGGGTTTTCAAATTAGTAATACAATTTTCAAAACACCTACCTCCACTAATATGTAGCGTGCAGACTGAGGTCTTCTTGCTGAAGTTAATGTGAAGAAACGAATAAAAGTCCTTTATTTGACAATACAGATCTCGTGTTTTACTGTCTATAAAAAATGTTTTTAAATCCTCGCATTTTTTCATCTCAGTCGGTCTATCAGTTGAACCAAATCCTAAAGAAACTAGACTTGTGTTGAATTCTGTGATGAAAATATTATTTCACTAAATGAATAAAATACAAAGCTTTTACATTTCATACGTTGTATTCTAAATTTGATATTTGTCAAAGGACATGTAGAGCCTTTCTGGCTTTTTTCGATTTCTCTCGATTTCAACCTAAACTCTGTTGACGATAATTTATTGGGACGAAACGATTATTGTACACTTTACAGTACATAGAGAGGCCATGGGAAGTTTTACCCAAAGCAAATGCAGAGAAATTTTGTTTTCAAAACGCTTCTCACAACAGGAACAAATTTAGGGCTCTCAATGATCATATGCCTGGTGAAATATCGGGGCCGAAAAAACGAGTTAAGAGACGTCGCTCCACATGCAATCTTTACATTCTATTGTGCTCATAATTAAAATGTACCTCTCATAGGTGCTGTTCTATCTAATATCCAAACAGAGCTAATTTTTATCTAATAGGAAAGTATTTATACACTTCGTGTTTTATGTATATATATATATATATATATATATATATATATCTATATATATATATATATATATATATATATATATATATATATATATATATATATATATATATATATATATATTATACATTGTATTAAAAATCATTGGCGCCTTTTTTTACTTTTTCGTAATCCATAATGGGCCTCTGGTTATTGTATTTGTATTTTAATGAATGAACACACAACAACTGTTTCCAAATTTAATACGTAGATATAACAAAGAATGAAAAAATAGTCTATTTTACCTGCATTGGTCATTTTTATTCTTAACCAAGAAAAGATTGTTGATATATCCCCGTCCAACATATTAACAGTGATCGATGTAATGTTTACAATGCACGAGTGATCATCATTATCAATGAGGTTGGTCGTTTCTTGAGTTGGATTTATTGTGAAAACTTTGGTGCTGTTAATGTATCCTAAAACGTAAGAAGCAGGTTGTTTGTTTTTAATCGTAAGTCCGATTGTATATAACAATTATATATCAAGCACTAGTTTCAGGTAACAAAATGGTTAGGAAACAAAAGTAAAATTATAACACGTTGTTAATAATACCTTTATACCAGTGGAAAATATCAGAAGTGAAAACAAACTGTTATAAAGTTTTCAGACGCCATCTTACATAATAGTTAGTGTGCAAAATACTGAAAGTAAATACACATTCATCTGCTTCAGAGACCTCGGCATATGAAAAGATAGTGTGGTCAGCACTATGCCCAGCCGCCATAATTTCCCTCACCTGAATTAGGTACCAGGTACCCATTAGAACTGGGTGGACTGAGGGACGTTCCGTTGATTGGAACCCGGATTGAAATCGAGACTCTAGGGTTAGCAGTCTAGATCTATATATTAACAATATTGGTGTAGACATAGTAACCAATGGACTTATAAGTCTATTATTTTATTTTACATCACAGACATTATTGTTTTGATAATGAATTTATTAATATACTGGATGCAAACGACGCTGTTGTGTTTACAATAAGCGTTACTTAATAAGGTTACTGCGATTATGAGAGGAATTCGTTTTAATAGGGCTTGTAAGTTTCAGTCTTGCTCGCGTAAATTTCGAAATCTTGAAGCCAGCGAGAAATATTAATTTTCAAACTAAATTAACTGCGGTAAACATGATCCACATTAATAACAAAAACCTGGCAAATATTTGCTTGTTGGCCATGCTTTAAGGTTTTAAAATACCAAGTGAACCCAAAATCCAAGGGTCTACCTTGGCAGCAAGATCAGCAAAACGGGAGGCACAGAGGAGGACATACGCGCTAGAGTTAATAAAGCCCGCTGCGCTTTCACAGTCCTGCGACCCATATGGAAAAGTTCGGCCATCTCCATTACCACAAAAATTAGGATATTTAACTCTAATGTCAAGGCAGTTCTGCTGTAGGGAGCAGAGACATGGAGAGTCTCCAAGGCAAGCACAGCAAAGATGCAGACCTTCATGAATAGATGCCTTAGACAGATACTGAAAATGAGATGGCAGGACAAAGTGCCGAACTTGGAACTATGGAGGAAAGCTAGGCAGGAGCCTATAGGTGTGCAAATAAGAAGGAGGAAGTGGCCCTGGGTGGGTCACACACTGCGAAAGACTCACACAAATGTTACACGCCAAGCGCTTGAGTGGAACCCCCAGGGAAAGCGGAAGAGAGGGCGCCCAAGACAGACCTGGATGCGGAGTCTTCTTGAAGAACTGAAGCCAATAGGGATGTCTTGGGAGATGTCAAAATTAATAGCCGAGAATAGGAAGAAATTAAAGGAAATGGTGGAGGCCCTATGCTCCATAAGGAGCAAAGAGGACTAAGTGTGTAAGTGTAAGTGAACCCAAAATGCAAACAATATGTATTTTAAATTGTTTATATTTTTAATTCTAATAATAAAATCAAATTAATTACAGCAATGCCTAGTCTATTAATTTTATATTAATATTCTATTAATTTTGTCACGGATTCTAATATTAAAAAACGAAATGTACGATTCTTTAAAAAAAAAATTAACGTAAACTATATTCAACTTTTGGCTAGCAGTGTAGTCTATCGTTATCATTGCTATCTATTTTATATAAATTAATAATAGCGGAAATAAATTTTCTATTTTTTTTTAAAAACATACTTAAAACTGCAACAGATGGTAAAATTAAATAAATGTTCTTCTCTTAGTCACAATTTACAATGGCCTATAGGCTTACAGTCTTGTCTCTTAAAACATATTTTAAAGATTAAGAAACTAAATTAAACTTAGATATTTTACTTTGCCATAGCTAAGTCGTAGGTGAGTAAAGATTCAGGCCAGTTTTGAAAGAAGGTACATGATTTTGAGGTTTTTGAAAAAACAAAACTATCAGAGGCGTAGCGAGGGGGGGGGGGTCGGGGGGTGCGGACCGCACCGGTAGACACCATTTAGAGGGGTGACACCAAGGCAAAAAATAGCAAAATATATAGAGAAAAACTTGACGGGGGTGCAAATCGAAATGTTAAGGGGGGTGCAAATCGAAAATTTGAAAGTTTGTCCCCGGGAAGGGTCACTACGCCTATGGGGGATGACACCATTAAGTGCGGCACCGGGTGACACCCGATCTCGCTACGCCACTGCTAACTATTCTGTACCCACATTCGATTAAAATGACACGATGTTAAAATTAATGTTATTGTGTCGAGTGTAACGAAATGCTTTTAAAATGTACTCACGATACTGGCAGGCGGTACCAAACCATCCCGTCTCACATTTATCTTTACAAGATCCATCCACGTCACAAGAGGAGATTTTATTACAGTGACATTTGTATTCACAATTAGGGCCAAACCAGCCGGCGTCACATTCTGAATGAAAAACCATACCCAAATAATATTAAAAACAATCTAATCTATATACATTCTGTTCTATACATTTTAACGTTGTGTACTATAGCATATTATTATGAAAAGGCTTCCAAATTAAAAAGATTGTGCCAGCGAATAAAATAATCTAGATATCGGTGAAAAAATGCACAGGCACCTTTGATGGCGATGCATTAGCTATTTAAGACATAAAATATTATATCTATATACCACTTTATCTCACCGGGCTTGTCTGTCTAAAATCTCTTATATATTTGCTGATTATATGTCAAAGTAAATAACAACTATGCTGAAATTTTTCACCGCAATATTAAATGACAATGATTAAAATTTTTAATACAAACTTATTTAATGCGATAACTAAAACATGACGTTTCGTTTTTGCATTCTTATGCAAAGCATTTTTCTATAACGCACATGATGTGCTAAATATAATTTTGTATTTGTAATTTAGTAGGTCTATAGTAAATGCCTTCATAAAATACTCGAATAAAAACTGTAAATAAATATATATTAGTTTGCTTGCATAAATTATTTATAATATTCCTGTGTTTGTAAGTTTTGATTTTTGTTATCAAAGACAAATTAACTAATGTATCTGCTTTGTTTCAATGTTTACGTTTGTATACGGTTTAAAACGCTGCCTATAAAAAACGATATTGGTAAATTACTACTCCTCAGTTTTAGAAAGATAGTAACTTATAATCGGCATAAGAAAATATCTTTGTTAAACCTACTTGTATTGCAGTCTTCACCTTGAAAGCCATCCGGACAACCAGACGGACAACCCCCTGTGCTAACAAAACACGTTTCTCCCTTGACGGCACAGTTGCAAGTCTTCTGGCAGCCGAGGCCGTAGGTTCCAGTGGGACAATCGGACTCTAGTGGAAAATATTTTCAGGTGACTCCACTTTTTATATCGATAATGCTCGATATCGATTTTTAAAAAAAAATAATTGTATTATTAATATACGATACTTATATTTAAAAAATGGCAAAAACTGATTATTATTGTCTTTGTACATCCTTAGTTTATTATTTTTTAAAAAAAGTTACTTTTTAATTAAAGCAAACGATGTCATAAATAGAGCATGAACGCAATTTTTACGTCATGTGTTTTATTGCATTGTATATTTAAAACAATTATATGTATGACGTGATAAAGCATAAACATTTTGTCGTTTAAGTATATTATCACATATTATCTTGTATGAAAGTATTGTGAATATCAATTTAAAAATTACAACACAAGTATAGATAGTTTAGACCTTTTATGTGTAAGTTACAAAACATTATGTCAAACGTAATCAATTGGTCATTCATTTGTATGGTAAGGGCTATCTATACATAAGTTATTTAGTAATAAGAAAATATGCTATTAACTTATCATAAATGTAAAGACAACGATGAACATTAAAGCAACGAATAGACGTTGAAAAACTATTGGCACAATAAAATGAATTTGTTTCAAGAAGTACAAAACACTAACCTCCGTATATTTCTATTTCCGTAATAACTAAATAAGCTTGAACTGTTGCTCTTCCATATGTTACACTTAATAATGAAACAGGATTGATAAGCTTTGCTTTATACAA